ACAGCAGGCGCACTGCGAGTGCCGGACATGCTCGCTGAGCATATCCTCAAGACATTGCCGATTTTGCATATGCATACTCTGATATATCAGACCTGAACACACTACTCAATGAGGTGCCTGCAGAGACCCGGCCCGCATTGGAAGTGGCAGACCACGCGCGCTCCATTCCAGCCGCACACATCAGGAAAGCATTCGAAATCGCCAGGGCCGCCTCCGCAGAGACGCATGCATCACCGGCCATCGCATGGGCAGAACATCTGCCTCCTAAACTGACCCCGGAAGTGGTGCAGGACCTGGTAGACAAATTCCAAAAGAACTACCCAGGAGAGCTGTTGGGACCGGACAGCATGCCAAGCATCCGTGGAAATACACTCCCTGCTCATGCTTCGCCCGAGAACAAGCAGACAGCCCCTAGCGGCGCCGCCCGCCAAGCGACCGACTAATCCGGCACGATCCGGCAAACGCCCAGCTCCCAAGCCGCCTAAGGCGGAACCACCCAGAAAAAAGGGTAAAGGGAAAGGAAAGGGGAAGACCGCAACGCATCAAGGCAAGCCAATCTGCCGCAGATTCCAACAGGGCCTCTGCAAAACAGACAACTGCCAGTTCGCGCATGTGTGCGCCATAAAAGGCTGCCAGCAAGCGCACGGGGCTTCGCAACAGTATCCTTCCAACCGCACCTGAAACAGTCCGGAGGCCGCTCCGGCCGCTCCTCCGGACAGTGCAACCCCACAGCCGGTAGCGCTCGGCACTGCCCACCCAAGTCGCACCGCAAGCCCGCCTGCAACGCATGCTTTATCGCCCGCGAACGAGGCGCCACTGTCTGCGCCAACGCACCGTCCTGCAGCCAGGGAGAGGACAGGCAACTCCGATGGCCCAACCAAACATTGCACGCACAGCTGAGGAGCGCGTACTGCCCCACTGTTTTAGCAGGAATCCATGCACCCATTTCAGCAACTGCCGACAAGCAAGGCCTCTCGCGTTTCGAGGCTTTTGACCTAGAGGCCAATTCAGAGCACGACATACTCGACGATGCGCTTTGAACTGCTTATGCGCATCTCTTGGTCAGGCATCGTCAGCCTGATTACACTAGCCCCGCCGTGCAAGTAGACTGAAACTCCGCCCCGGAGGACCGAAGGCCTTACGCACTCCAACCTGCACGCACGGCGTGCCTGGCTTGTCTCCCAAAGAAGCATCGCGCGTTGCACAAAGCGAAATCCACAGGAGGAGCAGAGAACTCTTCAAAGCAGTTGCCACACAAGGAGGCGTGGCAGTCTTTGAGCAACCGCCCTCGAGCATGGCGTGGCTCGAGCCGGAAAACTTTCAGTGCCTCAAAGACTTCCACGGACACTTGGCATGGGTGGATGCATGCCAGCACGGCATGTCTTCTGCAAAATCTTGCTGTTTCGCAATCACCCAAAAAAGCACGCTAGCATCGCAGGCGTGCGCAGCACCTCGGGCCTAATTCCTCAGCACATTGACCGCAGAATATCCCGCGACTCTGGCCGCAAGCCTCGTCACGCATTGTGCATTCAAAGTTCGACGCGACCCGCTGGTACGCGAGCTTCAAAACCCCTGCATCCGTAGCCTGCGTCCCAACAGACTCAAAATCTGTGATGGAGCCGGCATGCGTTCCACCGCAGACCCTTCAGTACCCCAGCCCAGTCACCCGCTGGGAACGGTAGCGCGCGCTTGGCTGCGGTGGGCAACAACACAAAATTTGATTCCCAAAATTCTCGCCCACGTCAGCTCGGACACACCTGAGCCACCCTTGTCGGCCCAGGAGTCCGAAGAGGCAGCGCTGATTGCTTTCGCGGCAGTAAACCTGCCCGCCCCAACCAGCCTGGCTCCCAACAACGGCCGGCTGTCACTGCTGCATGCACTGGCCTCCGCATCGGATGACCCGGACATCCATCTCCTTCCATTGCTCTCCGAAGGTGTGCCCGCAGGAGCCCTATCCGAATTGCCCCGTAGCATGCAGTGGCCGCTCAAAGAGCGCGCCGACCTGCCTCACGAGACCACGCCTGGTCCTGGACAGCGCAGTGTGCGGGGTGAACCCCAAGTGCAATATCCCAGAACGCGTCAGCCTGCCAATGGCATCCGACGTGCGCCTCGCTTTCATGCCAGAAGACACGCATGCTTCTTTCATAGGCGCAAGTTTTGATTTTTAAAGCCGCGCGCAAGCAAATTCAGGTACATCCTAGCGAACATGGCTCGCTCCTGTTTCGCTTCGCAGACACTTTGTACCATTACCGGGTGTGCCACTTCGGAGCACGGTTCTCCGCATACTGGTGGCAACGCACAGGAATGACCTCTTGGCCGCGCTGCACCCCCCAGATGCGCATCAGCAACTGGCACTAGTTGTCATATTCTTTGCAGCAATTAGTGCGCCCATTTCTTGGAAAAAGGTGCAATTCCAAAACTGCCTGACTTGGTGCGGATGGTCAATCAACTTCAGCCTGGAAACGATTGAACTCACTCCACTCAAAACCCTGAAGCTGAAAGAGCAGCTGTTCGCACTGCTCCGCTCCAAAAGAATCAAAAGAAAGCTTTTGGAACAAGTCCTCGGGCTGCTCATCTGGGCCACCAGCCTAAGCCTGGAATTGAGGTCTTGGCTTGTGCCGTTATATGCAGATCTGCACTCGCCGCCAGGATGCATGATATCCGTGCACGCACGCCTGTGGCCTGCATTTCTGTCGGCACTAGCTTCGCCCGTGCGCGGCATTTTTATGCCGCTTGGCTCCAGGGTCTCAGAGTATCAGCAAACCCCAACACGCTCCTCCGACTTGCCGCGCATCGTGCCCAGCCATAAGCCAGCATGGGTGCGCATAGCCGACCCAGCTGCCGAGCACACGCGCTTGTCCGCGGCAAGCAAGGCTAACATTGAGTGGCTCCTTCAATGTTTTCAGGCCGATTGGGCATGCCCGCTGCGCAGCAAGCCAATCTTGGCACGCAAGGCAGCCGCAGATGCTTGTGCCGAGGGCGCCACAGTCGGCATAGGTGGCTGGTTTATCTCCAGCCGCTCCGTCTCCTGGTTTGCAGAAACCTGGGACTTCCAAGAAGTCCAGCAGCAGTGGCCGTGCCTCACATAGGAGGCTCAGCGCTACATAGCGTGCTTCGAAACCCTGGCCCAACTGGCGCTAATGCGCATCGCTTGGACAGCCGAGGGACAAGCAGTGCACGGCTTATGCATGCCTTCCGGCACGGATAATACCGCATCAGAAGCCGGGGTGAACAAACTGTTCACCGCAGCGTGGCCCTTGCAGATCTTTGTGCAATTAGTCGCCGCATGGGCCTACAAGCACAAATGGTCAGTGCTAGCCTCGCATATTCCAGGCGAGCGCAACGTGTGGGCCGATCAGCTCAGCCGCGGCAACACATCCGCATTCGACAGCAAGCCGCAAGACGCCCCGTGGCGGCCGGAGCATAAGAATGCTCTGAAGAGGGGGTGATAGATTAGGCCGTTTGCTTGGAACTCTGAAGTGGGGGCATATGAGGAGGCTCCGCAGAGGGGTGCAGATACGGGGAAAGGACACGCGATGTTTTTCCCCCTGCACCTCTGAGCCTCAACTTCCAAGCAACGCCTTATAAAGAAAAAAGCGTGCGCGCATGTTTGTCGGTCGCACCCCTTTATCTTGGACTGCATGTTCCCTTTCGGATTGAAGCAGTGATCAAGATTCTAACCAATGCCTTCGATTGCTTCACGCCTCACAGGTAACACACCTGGCGCCTGGTCGAACACGCTTTGTTGACCACGGGGGCACATGAGGAGGCTCCGCAGAGGGGTGCAGATACGGGGAAAGGACACGCGATGTTTTTCCCCCTGCACCTCTGAGCCTCAACTTCCAAGCAACGCTTATAAAGAAAAAGAGCGTGCGCGCATGTTTGTCGGTCGCACCCTTTTGTTCCCTTTCGGATTGAAGCAGTGATCAAGATTCTAACGTTTAGGGTTTTATTTTCCCATATGTTTTAATCTTGATCGATCTTCGGACGCGTTGCCGTTTTCTGCTTCAAGCCACCTAAGGGACTTGCGTGAGGGTTACCCCTCACTTTTTTGCGCCCACCCTCCCACCCTGTCAACACTCAGGTAAACTTCCCTGGGCCCAGCCGCAGCTGGTTCCCCAGAGGTCGGTGCGTACCATGACCTGTCTGCAGAGGTCACAAAATTCAGTTTAGCACCGTGAGCCGCATTTCGCACCAGCAATGGCATGCAATATTTCCGCCAGGGCCCAGCCGCAGCTGCCGCCCAAAAGGCTCGGTGCGCAACCAGCCCCGCATGCTGTAGCTACTGCCAGGCCTCAGCCTGGCACCCATTGCACATAAGCCGGATGCACGCATTGCATCCAGCAGCCATATGACTGTTTCGACATGTCTCAACCTGGCACCGTGTGCCGCATTGCGCACCAGCCGAATGCCACATTGCATCCTGCCGCCATCAATGCCTTCGATTGCTTCACGCCTCACAGGTAACACACCTGGCGCCTGGTCGCACACGCATTGTTGACCACGGGGGCATATGAGGAGGCTCCGCAGAGGGGTGCAGATACGGGGAAAGGACACGCGATGTTTTTCCCCCTGCACCTCTGAGCCTCAACTTCCAAGCAACGCCTTATAAAGAAAAAAACGTGCGCACATGTTTGTCGGTCGCACCCCTTTATCTTGGACTGCATGTTCCCTTTCGGATTGAAGCAGTGATCAAGATTCTAACCAATGCCTTCGATTGCTTCACGCCTCACAGGTAACACACCAGGCGCCTGGTCGAACACGCTTTGTTGACCACGGGGGCATTTGAGAAGGCTCCGCAGGGGGGTGCCGACACGGGGAAAGGACACGCATTGTCTTTCTCCCTGCACCCCCGAGCCTTGACTTCCAAGCAACGCCTCATAAAATAGAAGAGCAAGCGCACCTTTTGTCGGTCGTACTCTTTTGTCTTTTGCTGCATGTTCCTTTACGGCTTGAAACAGTGATCAAGATTCTAACTGTTGAGCACATGCCATTTTTCGGCTCAAGTCAACAAACCAAATCGTTCCACCGCGTGTTGCCCAGCTGTCAGGGCAGTTTCGCCTTGCAATGGCTGAGGTTCTTTGTCAGGCCGCATTCAATCCGGGGAGCCTTGGGCATCCGGAAGACTGCAAGCCTTGCAGGCAAGCAGTCGGTCAAGTTGGGCGCAAAATTCCAAGAGCTAGGAAAAGCTAGGGGTGGCCATGTTTTTTTGTCATGTTTTTCTCTGAAAGCACATTGTGGCACCCCGCAAAAAAATGGAGCCACAATCCCGAAAGGACGGATACGCAGCATAGATCCACCGGGTTGACTTGTATCATGATGTTCTTCAAATAGTAGTCATGTCAAGGAACGTACGCAGGGGTGGAGGTTCCAAACCAAATGAAGGGCCTCTCATTCTGGAGACAACCCCATGCTCCCAACCCCGCGATTTTGGAATCCAACGCTTCCTTGTTTCCTACCCTGGATTGATAGGATTGGGCTGTTTGAACAACTTACTGGGTTTTGTAGAACAGAGGGCCATACAAGAGCCCACATTGGGCACATCCAAGTTGCGAAACTCGCAGCAGGAAGCACCATGAACATTGACCATTGCTCATATGAGTGATTCCGAGCCCAATGCTGACAGGACAACCGGCTGCACTTTTTGTCGTTAATTGCATGGACATTTGGGGTATTCCTGGCCCTCAAATGATCATGAGTCCATGAGTAGCTTTCCCATTTACTGGCTGAACTAGCATTGTTTTTAGTGGTTTTCCAACCCATGGTCATCCCATATATTGGTTGACTTGTTGATTAACCCCGATGCCAATGTGTCCTTCTTTTCCTCTGTTTAGGCAGCTCAACCTAGACGGCGGCTGCAAGTATGGGAAGCTCTGCAACTTCTGTCACCTGGAGCATCCGCGGGTGAAACATCGCAGTCAAAGGGGAAGGTGCGGGGGGTGAGAACATCCACGGTCTAAAGTCCTTTAAAGAAAGCTTGTAGCCATCAAGCTGAGTAGCACGAACACTGAAGAGGAAGGCAGGATTTCATTTGCACATGTAGCTAAGCTGACGGGTAGCAGCAACACTGAAGAGGAAGAGTACAGGATCTATATTTTTTGTAGTTGCACGATGTTGCACACTACTGACATGTAATATGCTAATAACTTAATCTGCTAGGCACAGCCTCCAAAAGAAAGAGTTTCAGCAGCAGAAGGACAAGCTGCCCAAGGAGCAAGTGAGGCTGGTCGACCGAATATATGATGAGATGGAGAACTACTACCAGGCAATGAAACAGATCTTCAGCGCGGTTTCGCAAGGCCCCAACAGCCTAGACGCCTTGGAGGAGCAGGTGGCGCATGAGATCACCCAGATCGGGTCTCTTGCTCAAGAGATGCGGCCAGACAGTGCACGTATTCCAGCACACGCGGGAGAGACGAAGACCGTCCAGACCCTGCAGGCCAAGTGCAAGTGGTTGAGTGGCACGGTGCACTTGTGCATCCGCAAGTGGTGCGAGGCCGAAGATGAGACGGTCTGGCTGCCACACAACGAGCGCCTGGTGAATGAGTGCCTTGGGCGTCTCAAGGGGCTGACAGGAAGGCTGACGAGGCTGAAGGAAGATCTGCAGGCGGTCGAGGAGAGGCTGGGGAGTTGTCTGGGCGCTAACCTCTGGCTGCGGCCGATCCTTGGGCAGCTGATCCGCAACAGGAGGCTGCGGGAGGGTATCTCGCAGAAAGCGGAGACTGCAGAGCTGGTAAAGGAGCTGTATGAGAACTTGGAGCGCTTGTTGCCAGTGGAGCGGACAGACTTTGAAACGGCGACTTGGGCTGCTTTGGAGCAGGCCAATGATCTGGTTGCTAAAAAGTTGGAGGAGCAGACTGCGATGGTTGATGAAAAGTTGAAGAAGTTGGAACAGACGGCGGACGAGTATGATGTATTTTAGCCGAGGTCGGCCTTTTTGCTTGGTGCCAGGTGCTTTCAGAATTTGAACAGCGCTTGCATAATTAGCATGCAGCGAGCGGCACGGAATGTGTTCGCCCTACAGCGCTGAGTCAGTGCTGAGGCGATGTTTTCTTTGAAACACAGTATTTACGTGGAGCTGTTGCCCGAGGGTCCACTATGGTACAGTGTGACCCCTGGCCCACATTGGGGCAGCCCAGTTTGGATCTCATGATATCAGCGCCCGAAGCAATTCCACGGTTTTGGGCGCTGAAGGATTTGTGCGAGTCGCACAAAGGCATGGCAGTTTGTGCGAGAGCCACCGAGCGATAGGGCGGGAAGCTGATCTGTGTCAAACATGTCCCCACTCAGAGCGGAAGGCGCCAAGGTCTTTTTTCTTTTGGGATTTGAGCCCCTGGTTCCATGTAAAAAGAACACACGCTCACCTCCAAACCACCGGCTCCGGCTCCGGCTCCAAACCGCCAAGAAACCAAAAACACAGCTCCAAGAAGCAGACCGTATTGATCCGTTTGGTTTCATTCGCGGCTCCAGGAGCTGCCTGTGAGTGGAGTTGAGGGGGCAGGATTCATTGTGGATTTTGGGTGTGGGTCAAACTTAAACCACCATTGGACTGCAGGTTTTAGTCCATGTTTCCACTTACCGGGTTCCTTTGGGCACCAATTTTTGACCCACAGCCTTTTGGCTGTGGCGTTTTTGGGAAAGAATCTCCAAGACAGGGGACTGTGGTATTATTGTTTTCTGTGTCAAGCGGAGGAGGGAAAGAAGAAGCGGTGTTGCGCACGTTTTTCCCTGCCGCCGAACATGTCTACTGCTCACATAATGCTACTTTGGCTGGCTGCTACGTGTTTAATAGATGGTTGGTATTGAGCAGGAGCGAATCCAAACTGACCAACTCAGCTCAAATCACGGATGGTCAGCAAAATCATAAGAGAGCTACAACATGTTTTCAGCAAGCCTTGGCAGCCATTCCGGACGAAGAGACTCCAAGGTGACTAGGAATGTCGAAAAGTTGGACAAGTCTTGGGGTCTGTCACCTGGGGTCAGGCGTTTCGTGTTTTGTGGACACCGAAAGATCACTTGAGCGCCTTTGGTCTTTCGATAAAATCATTTTCACAATTATGATGTTCCTGGCAGTGTCGTAAGCGATGTGGTGGGCGCTAAGAAACTGGAAGTGACACGGCTTACTCAGATGGACGTTTTGTTGAGCTGAGGGTTGATGAAGCCCGTATTTCTCCACAAACGTTTGTGGTCATATGGAAAATGACATGGCGAAATGGTGCCAACTCGTGCTATCGAAGATCGACGTTAGCTGCTCGTGACTAGAATTGCAATCACCAGCTACTTGCATTACTGCCCCTTGCATCCTTGACGGTGCAGCACAGTGTCAGCACTAAAGTTTCCTTGAGTTTTGGAGATGGTTTCAGGTTTTACTTGTTGCTGGATCGTTGTCTGGACAGCGAGACGGAACCAGCAACTGGAACGAAGTCTTCGCTTCCTATGAGAATCGCTCAAAGTTTGCGTGAAGTGGCCAACTCTGATGAGCTCACAGGACGAGTTTGCTGGCATGCTTCATGTGGATCACCTTTTTGATCATGGTTGACAGTTGGACTAAATTTCACAATGGCGAGCGATGGCCAACATTTTCCCTACACATTCGAGTTGACGGCAGTTGAAACATCAAACTTAAAGATACAACACAGTGGCAGCAACCTCAGCAAGAGGTGGGTTTTCCATGCTAACATCCAGCATGGCGGCCCACCTGCGGTGGCTCAGCGAGGGGGCCAACATATCCATCTTCGAGCGCAGCGGCTACTGGGTGAATGCTACCAGAAGAAACTTTGCACTTTGCTAACATGATTGGTTTAGGTTCCAAGCTTTGGGTTGAACACTTACCAAGGCTATGTGTCCTTCGCCAACTGCGCTCTGCCCGATTCCAGGAATCGACCGCGAGGGCCAGGACGCTTCGGCCATCGAGTCTTGGATTGCCGCCAAACATCCCCAGAAGGTTGTGGCCTGTGGAGGAGGTTTCCTCGTGGCATGGACGTGCGCGTGGTGGAAGCAATGGATCAAGTCATGGCTCCCTTAGATGCAGAGATGGCTGAGTGTTTGCATGACCTCAAGGCCAAGAGCATCCACATCCGACCCAGTTGCCTTTCACTCAGGCGGCTCCATCGCACCCGAGGCGCTTCTGAAGTCGGGCACCCAAGGTGCAGATTTGGTGATTCTGACGATGGGCGATGCCGTTGAGGTCCGCAATGCTGTCTGGCGTGGCCCTAGGCGGCCCTGCCAACCGACAGGGCCGCATTTGCGCCGCCCGCATCGCCAAGATCCCACAGCCGCAAGTACCGCGGGACCATCGGATCCTCAGTGCTCAAAGTTTTCGAGCTGACTGTAGCCAGCGTGGGAGTGAATGAGAAGCACCTCCGAAGCATCGGCTTCCTTTCCAAGGCCACTTACCTGCATCCCAACCAGCATGCTGGCTACTACCCCAACGCCCGATGCACTTGAAACTCCTCCTCAACGTTTCGGGGAAGATCTACGGTGCGGCCGTAGGACGGTGTGGAGAAGCGGATCGACGTCAGCGTGGCCATGCACTACGACATGCCACGGGTGCCTTTGGGCGAACTCCGGGAGGCCCTCCCCAAGCTGATGGCATCCGAGGGGGTGTGATGGTTCATTCAAAAATGCTCGGGACCCTTTCGAAGGAGCCACTTTGCAAAGGGAAACTTTCTGTTTAACCAAAAAGTGGTTTAAAGATGGCATTTCCACGTCCCAATGGAGGTAACACCCGAGATGGACCTCCTGCAAGGCGGGGAATCGCGCGCACATGGCCGCCTGCATGTCCCGGCAGATGGGCTTGAAGGCCAAAATTTTGACTAGCTCCATTTAGACAGCGCAGATGTGCAAGGCTCCATAAAGCAACGGAGCCCGCAAGGCGGCATCTTCATCACCTCAGATCAGGCAACGCTCTCCGTCCGCGAAAACATGGTGGGAGAGAGGAATCGCCTGAGTTTTTTTTCAAGTCCCCAGTCTTCCGACACAGATCGGGAGAGGCTTTGGGAAATGTGTTGGCCTGTGACGGCACAGTCTGTCCAGGTAAATTCGTGGTGGAGCCGGATCCTGGCTTGCTACTCGATTAGCACTCTGCAGAGGACAAAGAATCAAGCTTTTCTGGCGGTGAGCGGATGGTCTTTCTGGGAATGTCGAGGCTCGTGAGCATGGCAAATATAAGAGCAGACAGGCACTTGCTACACAGTGCAGCTGCTCTGTTTGCTGCTTTTGCGGCTGGAAGGCTTCAAACACAATGTTGTTGCGGCCTGTAGAGCGTCGCCAAGGGGCTTGAGAGGCAGCTGTTTCATCACATGTGACGTCATGTGTCATATGACTTGCAATATGTGTTGCTCACGTGTAGAAGGGGAGCGTGAGCCATGCGTGAGACAAGGAAACAAGCAAGTTGGCTCGCAACGAGTCTGCAAGAGGTTGAAACATAGCCTGAAGAAGTGGACTTCCTAAGGCAGATGGACCTCCGTCCTTCTTTTAGGGTCATTGTGAGATTGCTTCTAACCTGGGTTCAAAAACAATGTGCCTGCACGTCTGCCCAAGGTAGGTGTCTTAGAGCATGCAACTTCAGCTGGAGCATGTACACGAGTCATGTGCAGCTATGCCTAAACATAGATATGTCTATGCATATTATATCTGTATGTGCCTATATATATATACACATACACACATCTGCATTAATGAACACATTTTCACTCGCGGAAGCAGTCAAAACAGACGCACATACCACACATCGCGCCCGCTGCAGTCTCCTTTTGCGCCTGTGTGGCGAGGCCTGCCATGTATCGTAAGGGTCTCTCTGAGGAACTCATCCACCCATGGCGTCCCATTTCGGGGTGCCGGTTTTCCACAGTTAAGCAGTGAGCGATTTCATTTTGGGGTACGGGCGGGAGGTGGGTTCCTCCCTATCCAACTTGCTAACTGTTTTCCTGTGACCCAACCGGACCCAACCCCTTGTGACTTGTGTGTTTGTGTGTGTGTCGATTGTCAAACCTTGCTGGTATGATGCATTTGGTGCCGGAAGCGGGCTTGCTAGACGCAGGCTTCGCTGCATGAGGATCTTCATCAACAATGCTGCTTGCCTGGGACGGGAGTAGGATAGAGGCACACGCTCTCTCATCTATATCTTTTTTTTGGAATGCATGTCAGGTTAAATTTGGGCAGGGTGCTCGCTCATGAGCGTGACAGGATGAAAGAAGAAACGGCGGCCTTTAGCATGGAACACACAATGTGGCTCTGGCAGTAAGAAGCCTGATTTGTGGATTGCGACTCAGGCTGACAGCTATGTCGGACTGAGCCTCAAGTTCCCTTCCACAGTCCTCGGAGTCCAACACACCGAGGCAGAGCTCTATGTGCAGACTTGAGGAAGGTCTACGATCAGGAGAATGCTTGCGCAGAATGCCAGTTCAACATGGCTCCAGTTGCCGGCGTGTTTTTGAGGAGAACAAGATTCTCGGCACGCTGTCGCAGGGTGCAGAGGCTTCTTGACTTGTTAATGTAGGCAATCCAATTTTGAGTTGCTTGGGTTACAGGCCGATGCAGAGCTTCTTGAATCAATGGGCGTGCTGCACTCAGTTGCTTGTGCTGGCCGCTGGTGTCGGTGCATGTTGATCTGAATTGCAGGTCAAAAGAGTCGTGAGTCGCTTGGACAAGCAGAAATACACTTCTGACATTTTGTCGCGCAGCACTGAGCTTTTTGGCTTTTGTTGAGGCCTGTGAGCCAAGAATCAGCTGATGGGTCTTGAGGATGAAAGGTCTTTGTCGATTGCCACAGTTTCAGGTGCTCCCTTGTAGTCTACGACCTGCAGAGTGCTGACGTCGAAGACGCATCATCCTCAGCTTGGACGCTGATAGTTTTCACAAGCTGTTGTCAAACTTGCTCGGAAGAAAACAAACGATAGACAAGCTTCTGGCATCAGATCCCATTTGCATAACTAGACAGTCAAGCAAACCAAGCACAACACACGGTCTTTTGCACTTGCAACATTGAGGGCATCAAGCGCAGCTTGTGAGAGACATGGTCAATGACCTAATTCCTCGGGGGTGGTAGGAATAGTCATGAACCTCCTCGTGGGGATTTTTGAGACGACTAGTGACTAGATCAGGATTATTCTTCGGAAAGGGGTGAATCATTCCCATTCGATCTTGCAGCAGGTCAATCCTCAATTCTCATCGCCAGGTTGCAGTTTTCCCAGCCAATCCCAATCCACCCACCAAGCCGCACCTGCCCATTCCCAAATCACCCAAATCCCCCCCCCCCCCCCCCAGTTCCGAGAGCTGGCAGGTGGAGTACGTCATCAAGGAGCTGAAGGTCGCAGAACTGAAGCACGACGTCACCTTCGTGCTCATTTCCTCGGTGATGGCCGGGCGGTGAGTTTTGAGGTTCGATCGGGGAGAGGGCTAGGACCGGCCGCGATGTTTGGTTTGAAACAACTCAGACGTAGGTTGAAGGCGACTGTGGTGATGCCTGAAAGTTAAAACCCAGAGAGGATGTGAGAAGGGATCCTGGAACCAGAGAGAGTCGACATCTCATTGGATTGACGAGAGGTCTGGGCCAACACTCGGAAGCAGTACGTGCCGGTGAAAGGCGGGGCTCTTGTGGCACGTGTGGTTTGCCAAAGCCGATTTGAGTCTCGGCCCAGACGATGAAGAGGAGGAGGATCCAGTGGACGAAGAGGGAGAGGAGGCACCATCTTGCAGCTGTATGGCGCTAATGGGAAATGCTCCACAAAGCCAACATGGAAACATTCACACAGGTCCCGACAAGAAGCATCCTGTTTTCTTGCAGCCATGTGGGTTTTGGGAGACATGTTCACCCCGAGAAGACTTGGAGTTCCGGGGTGCATTTGCCAAGCGAGGTTGAGGTGAAGAAGCGGCCCAAGGAGATGCTTGGCTGCACAGAGTTAGGAAGTCCGTCGGGCCAATTGGTTTGCTTGATCCTGACCCGCTACGTTGTGGAGGCGGTGAGGTGGTGCGTTTTGTGCATGCATGCCAGGCTGACCGATGCTGATTTGGAGCGGCGGCTCCCATCGCCTGCCCATGAGGCACCGGTGATCCTTTTTTGAGCGCTTCGCCTTTTTGGCGGAGCCGAGTGGACAGCTTCAGGCAGAACAGTTGGCCTCATTTTCCATGCGGTGTGTTCTCATATCTTGTTTGTTTTTAGCATTGTGCTGATTGCAGCCAATCGAGGCGTGGAAATACCTCGAGACGCTCACCCTTTCTCTTGGCCTGCCTTGCATGCATTGTTTGTTGAAACTTGATGCGATTCGAGTCTTGCCAGGTTCCAAAGAGAAGCTGCGGCCACACGTCGTTGGTGCCGGTGTTTTGTATGGCAACGGCCGGCGCCTTGGCAACCGTGGCACATGCCTGCGGGATAATATTTTGACAAACACAAAGAGAAACAAAGCACTCATATTCGCTGAGGCGAGCGAACTTTTAACGATCTCTTCAAGGCAGTCCGCAGCTTGGAGTGTCCTTTCCCAGCGCAATGCACGGCCCTCCAGCATGATAGCGAGATGTACACCCATTCTGACAAGACGAATGGGAGACGGCCATTTGACAAGGGCTTAAGATAGTTGGGGGTGTCTTCCTTTGAGGGTAGGCGGTGTGAAAGGGAAACCAAAAGGAGCTTCACCATTTGGGGTGTCCACCAAGAAAGGACACACCCCAGTTTTGACACCGTCCCAGTTTCTCAGCTCGAACATGGCTCTGGGACCCTGAGGCTTGGCTGACGCAGCCCATCCACAAGATCATAGCTCCCGGTGGAGCTCCCAGACTCCGTTGCTCGTGAGTTACTTTGATGTGTTGGACTGAGGTGACAACTACTTGCCTTGCGTGCACGTCCGGGATGTCAACGGCTCAGTAGTCATTAAGACCATGATCCTCCCTCCGTGAATTTGCAGGTTGCCCGCCTGGTGCGTGTGGTGGCTTCCGACAGCACAGTCGGCCCATACTTGTTGGATGCAGCCTCAGGTTTGCCAATCTGCCGAGAGCCGGCTTGGACAATGAGAGCAGAGCTGAGGCAGTAGACCACTCGCGGCTGACCCAGGCAAACATCATCCAGGCGTGGGTGCAGCATTCTTGTTCTGACATGGTCAGCAAGCTCAGGGCATCATCAATCAGATCTCGCACAAGCGGGAAGTGCAGATGGCCTACATGCGCGCACAGTTGGTATTTGTTCAGCGCCCAAAACTGATTCCTGTTGGCTGTTTCTTGGGCGTTCTACTACCTGTTGAAGCGGGTAAGGTCCGTGTGAGCCTTGATCACAATCTAGGCAAGAGGAATTAGTCTTCGAGACCCATTAGTTTTTGGATTTCTGCTGCTCAGTTGAATGTAGGGTCCCCAAAACATCATTTGTTAAACCTGCAATCAACCTCCACTAGCGGGGCTTCTAACAGACCTTATTGTGTGCATTCACTTGCGTTGCAGTTGGCTTTCAGCATTCAAAAGCTTCCAGCTACGAGTTGCCCAGGCCAATCTGCCCAGCGGAGGAGGTTGACTCAGACTTCAAAGAAGCTCGCACGCTTAGTCTGCTCCATGTTGCAACTTTGGCTGCTATTTCACTGGATTTTGTGGCAACAACCACACTACTGCAGCCCTGCGGTTCATTCCCTAAGCATTGTCCCTACTTGCAATATTCCGGGAGTCAACTGTATCAGTAGGCGTGCCCATTGCATGTTTTTGGATCAGCAGAGGTCCTATCTCTGGACATCATCCTCGAACCCTCAGCACCTCTCAAGGCCTTTCTCTTGATGTTGAACCAGAGATCATGCTTGGAGAGATGCTTGCAAAGTTCTGTTCGAGTTTTGGCTGATCCCCTCCGAACGCTTGTGAACTCTTTGCGCTTTGCTTTCTACCAGCGGCCATGTCAGTTCCCCTTTGGCGACATGGCCGTTGCATTCTGCAGGATCCGAGCTTCTCGTGGTGGTGTCGGGATGGTATTGTTGCCAACATAGAGAAGGCCTGGTTCGCTGGATGGGCACATGAGCCATCAAAACCCGGGTAGATGAAGGTGAGAAAGGGACAATCCCAACCATGAATAGCTGCGGCCGCCTGCCTAATTCTTCACATGGTTCTGGGACCATTGTAAAACAGTTTTTTGACTATGACTCACATGGGTGTGGCTCAAAATTAAACAGGAGGGGCAGGTTTTGGTCCATGTTTCCACTTTCCAGGGTTCCATTTTGGGTACCGGCTTTTTTGAGCAGCCATTTTAACACCGGGTTTTGACCATGGCTCACATGAAACACCGTGTAGCCGCGTCTGAACTGGAGCTCGCAGGTGGCCGCGGAGTTCTGCAAATGGCGCAACCTGCGTCCCATCAAAATGGCCCCTTGGGCAGAAGGGGCCGACGGCCTCGCGAGCGAGCTGAAGGGTTTCTCTCAAAACGGCTCAGGTGGTGATCGGACCACCTGGATGCGGCGCAGAGCGTCTTTGCGACCCAGTCTTAGCTTATGGCAAGCAAGCGTAAAGACTAGAGACTTGCTTGCGCCGGGAACTTTGCTCGGGATTCGCTAGCTCCGTGAATCGCGTCGGTTTCCTGCCTACATGGACAAGAAACGGGGTTCAGAGACACATTCGGAGGAGGCGTAGTCAAACTTTATCCAGTTCATGGCGAAATTGGGAGGGACCTGCGGGAGACTGTGGTTTTCCGTCGGGAAGCACATGGCCCCTCGAATTGGGTTTCCTTTTGACCCTCATGCGGACACCGCCCAATTGACTTCAAGCCGTTTGCGGAGCCCGTGTAAAGCCGCCAAAGCACCGCCTTTGCGCGAGGCTCAAGTGGCCGGGCGCTACCTCCACGAGGCACGGCACTCAAAAGAAAGATAAAATTGATAGCGCCGGGGCGCCGGCGGGTTCCGGACCCTCGACAAAGTTGGTTGGTTTCGAAGAGCAAAACACCAAAAGCCCGGGGGTTGCGAGAGGCTTTCATGACAGGTTCTTGCGCTCGAGTTTCCGCGCACAACAAATCTGCCAGAAGCATCCCCTCAGTTTCAGGTGGCCTTTTTCAGTTTCTTCCTTCATCACAAATCACTCCTTCCATCCGCTTCGGGTTTACAGGAAAGGTGTTGCCTTTTACAGCGAGGAGCCACCGCACCTGACCTTCGACCAGATCATTGCAGATGCCTGCTCTGCACCGACCAGGGCAGCTCGCAAGCTCAACAAGAAGGCCTCTCTTTTTGAGAGTATGGCCTGGATCTGATGTTTTGCTTCAGGTTCGGAAGCTGGAGCCCGGAAAGAAGCTTCCTTTGAAGTTGAGGCTCGGAGTTCAGAACTTCGATCTGAGTTCAGCAGCTTCGCAGGACCAAGCTGGTGCAGAGCCGCCTGCTGTCCAATGTTTGCCGGGTCTCCCAGAATTCTAGGAATTTTTATGGGGGTAACCCCAATTGGTTGGACATAAATGGGTTTCCTTTAGAAAACAAGCAATTGGACATAAGAAGGGGGAAAGGACTCTCCACCTATCCTGTCCATCCCTTTACATTCCAAGCTAGGTGTGCACAAGGCCAGCTGGGGCCGAGAAAGTGCCAATTTGCAATGCCCCACAGAAAGAGTTTGATGGCGCTTCTTTTCCATTTCTCGTTTCGCGGCTTGCCATCAAACATCATACCCATTTCAAACACACACACACACACCCAAGGCCGCTACCGTGGGTACATTCTGGAGGGCTATCCGACAAGCTTCGCAGAAGCGGAGGCTGGTAGTGCAATCGTTACCCACTGGCATTGGAGATCTCCGAGGCGTTGTTCATGGAAAAAGTGCGTGAAGAAGGGGAGGAGGAAGAGGAACGGCCGCATGCAGCACTGCATTGATGAGGGTTTCTATAGTGTGTCTCTGAGTTGGAAGATGCCACACACTTTTTCATAGATCTTTGGCCGGAGCAGTGCACTCGTAGGCTGAGGCAGAAGCTGAGGAGGGTGAAGACGAAGGCGAAGAAGAGGGCGAAGAGGTGGCTGCTGCTTCTGACGTTTGCTGGGCGGGTCATTTTCCGCGTTTGACAAGTTGGAATGGAGTGCAGTGGGAAGGAGGCAGATGAGGAAGAGGAAGAGGAGGCTCCACCACCAGAGGAAGACGAGGAAGACGAGGAGCAGAGGCGTGGTTGCGGAATACAACAGTGCCGAGTGGCTTAAGCGAATCTCCACCAGAGCCGCGCGTGCAGGCCTAAGTTCAAGGTGAATGAAAGTGTTGCGCGGAGCTCCAGACATGGCTCTTTGCGACATGTGCAAGTTGTAAAATCCACTTCCCGGGGTTGGCTACGGATCACGAATCAATCACAAGGGTGCCATGGCCATGAGGAGTTTGATCACACACACACACACACCTGAGCCACAATCAACTACTGGGTAGATGAAGGTCAGTAAGGGTCAGTCCAAACCAGAAGTGGGTGCAGCCGCCTGGGTAACCCTTTTCGTGGTGTTGGGTTCGCCGGCCCATGTGTCACGTTGGACAGTTGAGGTTCCTGAATATGGTGTTTTGATTCAAAGCGCGGTGGCGCGCTGCAAGGCCACGGCCTTAAATGATTCCGAATTCGCCGCTTGGAAAATCCATGGGATCATCATGTCGTGCCAAGGAAAGAATCTTCAACGGCGAAGCAAAGGGCCCCACCAGGGAGGAGGACCGCATGTCTGAAGGCCATGAGCAAGCTCAAACCGCCAGCCTCAGAAGCCTTCCTGCTGTTTTCCTGCGTGGGCCAAGGTTTCCCCCATTTCTCTTCTTGCAACCTCCAAAAGTGGCAGTTTCCATGGAAACCCCCAGCAAGTTGCAACCGTTTGAAGGGGAACTCCAGTGACCCTGTGACCCCCAATAGGAATTTGCTGGTGAGTTGCAGCTGTGATTCACCGAATGCAGGACTTCGTCCGAACCACAGCGGAGTACCAAGGTGCTAACTTGGCTGAGGCGCTGCTAGGGACTCGTTGGGCAGATGCTTGTCGTGTGAACATGAATTGATGGCCATTTCTACTTGCAGGATGGTACTCCTAGTACTTCCGAGTTCTTCTTGGAACAGTGTGGCTTGAAAGTCTGGTGCTCAGATTAGCCGAAGCACAAACTGTAGACTGGCCGGCCCGCTTAGATGCTGCCGATCAACATTGACGCCTGCAGTGAAGAGGAGGCTTTCCAGGCAGGGCAGGATTTGGCGCGTGATTTGGCTCTGACGAAGTGATTCGCGCAGGCAATCCGAGTTCACATCGAATCCAAGGGCCAGTTCTTCAACTACTTAAGGCCCAGATGATTGGTGCTGCTGAGCCCAATGACCTGCCACTAGGTCAGAAGAAGACCTGGTGCGTGAAGAGCAGGAGAAGCTGGAAAGGATTCAACAGGAACGAGATGCTGAGCAAAGAAGGGAGCTGCAGGACTGCGAAGCTATGGGAGCGCTGGGTTTTTATTTGCCTGCAGTCGCCGGGCTGTTTGGAATGTAACATCTTCATTTCGAAATAAGGTGGCTCTGAAGTTTGTATTGGCCAAAATCCCGACCTCCGAAAGTCGTTTGAGGCTGACCTCTGAAGGGTTCTGAGGCACAGATTTGGGATTCACTGAGGATAGTGAGTCGAAGAGACATGAGAGGTTTTATCCGGACAGTGGACCAAATCCAATGCTAGGAGCAAGCTGAGAAGGAGGCTGCACTCAGACAGAAGCTCGCAGGCGAAGAGGACTTGAGGCGCAAGGTCGGAACCTTGGGCTCGGAGGTTCTCTTCTGACTGATGCGTTCCCAGGTCATCGCGAAGAACGAGGCTGCCCATTTGGAACAAGAGGCGCGTGGTGGTCTCTTCGAATTTGCTCTGCCCCCCTGCTTCTGGATTTTTTTTCATACACGCCAGAGAGGCGCGCACACACACACACACAGCACATCGCACCATCACTGTGTGTGCTGTCCTTGCACTTGGATAGGCCCAGCCTTTGCGGCAATATCTTCTGTCTACCTGGCGAGATTTGAACGAAAGCTGCTGCATGGGCGGTGGACATTCCCTCTGCCAAACTTGGCAGGGCGCACGTTGTTCCCACCTTGACCGCAGGGCTGACTGAGGCTTGGGTGTGTCTTTTGAGGGCACCCCGTTTTGGAAAGGAAAGCCACTAATTTGGGTGTCCCCTAAAAAGGACACATCAACACAGGCAGCCAGTATCTTGTACTTGCTTCGCAACTCGACTTTGGCAACTCACCCTTTCTCGAATCTGAACTCACGAATCAGGTCTGCAAAGAGCAGCCGGAGGACCCCATCGAATTCTTGGCACAGTACCTGCTGCTGGCCT